GAGCACAGATAGCCTATTGTGTAGCTTTGTGCTTAATTACAAAACAAACAAACTTATTATAAAATATATTTGGTCCGTATACTTTAGCTATGATTGTTGACAACATTGGCGCTAAATCAGATTGAAAAAAAAACAAAAAAAATATTGTTCGGGATGCTGTTAGTGTTAACTACAAGCTAGCGTAACCTTAATGTTAAGCTAAAACAAAAACATAGAATCCTGCTTTTGAGGAATGGGACTAATAGTGCGCATTTACGTAACAGACAAATCAGTCTATGCAACACTTACGAGAGTGACTATTTAGCAAATTTTACAAGTTTTTTTAAGTATTAACTCTAAATATTCAATTTCCTGTTTCCCTAATATAATTGTTACTGCAAGTTACATAAAACACTGCACAAATAACTGTTTTTATTCCTATCGCAACTAAAGTCACAATTGCTATAGAATGGAATATTCACAAGTATTTCTACAATACATTTACTCTCTTACAAGCAGAGGCTGGATGTGGCCTAGTTATTAGCTTGTCAAGACAGTGAATCCAAGGGTTCCGTATCCCATTGGCAGAAAAACCCGATACGCAATTTGGAACTTTGGGTTTGCTATAATACTAATAGTAAAAGCCGGCTATTCGATGGGTTTGTTGTAATAGTGATATCGTCACTATTATAATAAACACATCGAATAGCGGGATTTTATCGTCGCTATTATAATAAACACATCGAATAGCGGGATTGTATCGTCACTATTATAATAAACCCATCGAATAGCGGAATTTTATCGTCACTATTATAATAAACCCATCGAATAGCGGGATTTTATCAAAATCCCGCTATTCGATGGGTTTATTATAATAGTGACGATAAAATCCCGCTATTCGATCGACAAGAGTAGCCTCATAGTTGGTAGAGAATGTTGCTGATTAACTCACTTTCCCTCTAGTTAGTTTGTTACAAAATGGAAAGAAAATTTTCTTGAATGCAAGGGTAACGTGTAGTAATTAAAGGGATTTTACAATTAAGTTAATCTTACGTCTGTCTGGCTATATAAAAACCTCTTACGGTTACTCTCATAGGTTTGGTTTGGTTGTTGTTAAGCGCAAAACTACTCAATGGGCTATCTGTGCTCTGCTCACGACGGCTATCGAAACCCAATTTCTAATGTTATAAGCCTTCAGGCTTGCTGCTGGTCTACTGGGGGGAAGGGATATACTCCAACGATTATATAATTTAGTTTTTTTTTAATATTTCGAGTCGATTGTCCCATGTTACGGAGTTTGATACAAGAATGTATAACCTGTGACCATATATTGAGCCTCTTATGTTTTGGATGA